AGTGGTATTAACTATGGTTTACATGTTTACCTGGGGTTCAAGTCCCGGATATTTAAAATACGTTTTACTTATGGCAGCTGCTATAAATAATGTGTGGCTCTTTTCTTTCAAATCATGAACAGCATCTCCCCATTCCCTACCAGTCAGTGCAATGCTAGTTAAATCAGTCTTCAAATGAATCAGGAGTCTAGACAATATACAGCAGTGTACAAAGGATGCTGTGGCAGCATGTTTGCCCAGAAAATGAAGCAAATAATAAATAAGTAAGGTATTTCTGTATCATAAGGTAAAGGTTTTCAAAATGTGACTTAATGGGAGAGTTTTCAGAGAAGAGTTCTAAAACTGTTTTATGGCTCAAAAATGGCAGACTTCTGATGGTAAACTAAAATAGTTCAACTTATTTAGCCTCTTATAGACAAGATGAAAGATGTTTTAATCAGCATCTCCCAGAAAGTGTGAAGGGGAATGACACCTGACACCAAAAAACTCTTTCATCTATCAGGAATAGCCACAAAGATCCCCAAGTTAAATGCTGAAGTCGGCAGAATTCAAACTAAATTAGGTGCAAATTCTCCATAGGAATAGCACTTAACCACTGGAAGAGATGGCCAAAGGAAAGGGTAACTTTTCTATCATCTGAAGTCTTTAAAGCTAGATAAAATGTCTTTCAAGAAAACGTGTTACACTGCTATCATTACTTTTGGGGTTAGCTGCTGAAAATCATTTGGTGAAATTTTATGGTCTCTGTTTAGCAAGAGCTCAAACAGAGTGATCACATTCCATCGAGGCTTCAAAGTACATGAAAAACAACAGCTAGGTATGATTTTACAGCAAAAATAATGATAGGAGGTGAAATCACAGCCTCACTGAATCCATGAGAAAGTTGACACTCCCTCTAATGAGACGCAAATTTAATCTGCAATTATACAAATTGTGGCTATATTCACTGCATTTAAGTTTGGGATTACATGCAGACTGCTTTGCTTAACCTCACCCATTTTCTTTTACTGCTATTATGTTTACCGTTTTATTTTGCACTTCAGATTCGTTCTGAATTAACCTTGTATGATTTACATTTTTTATGCACCTAGGGGTTTGCAAATGTGATCTCTTTTCAAGTAGTAGAGTTCAAAATGAAAATAAGAGAAAAATTCTGTTTCTTCTTGGCTTCATACGGGTAAGGGTCAAATGTTTCACTGATTATTTTCTGTAGAAGATGGGTGTTTCTACTGTTTGCCTCTGGTGAAGCTGCAAAACGGACATCTGTACAAATACATTTTCTGGATTATTTTCAACGGTATCAACAGCTGAGCTCAGGCCAGGTTTTCCATTAAGCCTCATAATTAAGTTCACTTTGAATGGAGACAGGAATTACTATTGCTAATACATGGGATTGTGTATTGCCTCTCTACCACGGTTCTCCCTACTGTTCAAGCCTGAAAGAAAGAACTGTCAGCTATCCTTCCATACAGTCATCTGATCTGATGTGCACCGGCTGCACACAGTCGTCCTGAAAGTATATGGATGGGTCTGGGCCACTGGAATTCTGAAGCAGTTGCTCAGGTCTAATCCTTTTCAGGAGCAAAGAAGGCATTAGAAGCCGCATCTCACAGCCCTTTCCTAGAAATGGCATTAAAGGAGGTGTGAAGAACTGGAGATCCATTGAGAATGTACAAGATCTTAGTACAGAAGCTGAGAGGCCCAGTCCAAGTCTGTTGACTACCAGCTTCGTTTCACTGAAGATTAAAGGGCATCATATGGTTTGTTCCTTTCTCTTTGTAAAGTGCTGATACAGCTTTGTGCAATACCGCAGAAATGCCTCTGGTCCAGATTCAGCCCTTATTTTACTCTGGGAACATGCACAGAAGCAGGAGATAGGAGTCTTGCACTAGGATACAACTACTGCTGTTCTTTACAGTACTATTTAAAGCCTGCTGGAGTCAATGGAAGACCCTTCATTGATTTCATTGCTTTGGATCAGAACCCCTGCTAGGGAGTCTTTGTCCTTGGCTTTCTTAAAAGAAGACTTCACTAGTGTGTGAACAGCGTTAATCACCCATGAACACTTGCTAAAGAGTGATCTGGTTTTTATGATATGGAAAACACGCTGCTGAAGCATGAAACCTTTTAATGAAGTCAAACAAAGTAAAAATTGCCCCTTATGACCTAAAGCTCAGCTCCTGAAATGTCATTTTCTGGGATAATACATTCCTCATCTGCCGGTCTAGGCTTTTTCTTGCCGCAGGTGAACTAATGCAGCCTTGGAGGTGTGCCATAGTTACTAGTATCTGGTATTTTACTAGAGGCAAGAGATAGGAATTATTAATTGTTTATTTTACCCCCCTGATGGAAATTGCAGAAAATGAGCAGATCTTTGCCCCTGAATTTGTTATTTTGTTTTCCTGACACCTAAATCAACTGTATATCCTTAATCTTAACATTGAGAAACCACTGGCATCATTAATGGGAGCTTGTTACTTCATGCAGAAGTCATTACTGATTTGTCAAATAATGTCAGTGAATGCAGAAAACTGAAATACAAAAATCTTTTGACAGAGTCTTTGCTACTACCTTTAGTCTTCACTGTCTTGGAATGGTAGGAATAGGGATGTCATTCTAATGAAAACAATTCACAATAAATATTTGTTCTTGTGCTTGTTTGTTACCTTGTGGGTATCCAATATTGTGCATAGGGTTATTTCAAAACTCACTGCAAATTCTCGTTGATGGGATAGTAATTCTGATTTTATGTAAGAAATCAGTGGTGCTAGCACTGGGTGAGGTCTCACAGAGTTCACTAATGAGTCCTTTACTGTATTTATACATAAGTGAAACTCCTGAAAATCATGATAAAACTGGTTCACATAGTTCATATGGCAGCAATTTATTGCCTGGCTGCAGATTTTGTAAATCTCTCTGGTACCACAGGGTTATTACAGTAAGTTAGAAAGACAGGTATTCTAAGTATGAACATGCTGTTAAGATCTCAAAAATACTGAGTGCTCTTGAATTGAAGCTTTGATGAGAAATAAATCCTTCTAGTGACACTTTTATGCCATGTAGAGATGTGGAAGTGTGAGCAACAGCACCTGGCAAGCAAGCTGTCTTCTTTAAAAGCAAGCAAACCAGCTGCTCATCAGGCTGGAGAAGGATTTAGCAGGAAATAAAAGTCTACTCAAATGTTCATTGCTCTGATCTGCAAGAGAAAACTCATTCTTTATAAAGTGTCCTCTGGATGCTGAGAAAAATTGCATTTATATCTTCTGTATTTTCAGACACTATGAAGAGTTCATATTTGAAAACAGGACTCATTTTCAAGTGAGCAACCTACTTAACAGATCCATTTCTGGTCGTAACAGTTCTTTCATTTACAGAACATAACCAGATAGGCAACAAAATCAACTTCCTTGTGGAGAACAAACAAAACTTGATAGAAACCTTCTGTTTCAGGATACAGTAGGGGTAGGATTTCTGCATTTGCTTTGTATGGGTCCCTCCTTTCCCTATCCTTGCATGTGCATCAGGCAGATTGTCTCGTTTAATAAGCCCCAATTGTATCAGCGTTCTGATTACAAAACCTGCTGTGTTTTAAGCACACTGACGAGATTAAGGAATTTTTACTCCTGCAGAGCAATACTAACAAAAATGTTTCTGTCTCTTCAGAGCCATAGATATGCAGTGGTTTCACAAAACACTGGGGAAAAAAAAGGGTTAGGCCCCGAAAGTAGGTAAGATGATGCAAGCCTGGCATTCTTAACTGTGTCCATATATTCCAACCGGGCAAGGTATCTCACCTGATCCCTTCAGAAAATCATTTCTTTACTTTTACAGCTGCCATATGCCATACCTCCACAACACAGAATCATTCAACAGCAGAAGGGAACCTAACTGTACCTAACCTAACAGCAGTAAGAGAAATAAATCCAAATGCAACAGCGTGGAAAAAACATGCATATATCAGCTGATACCCCTCAGAACCTCCAAAGGCCTGGAAAGTGTTTGGATGTATCACCTGAATATTTTTTAGATTATCTGGACTTTTGCAAGTTATTTTATGACAATTATTTCAGTGCATTCAGTGTTATTCTGAGTACCAAAAGCCTTAGTCAGATAACACTGTAATGCACTGAAAAGGTTTCCTTTAGATAGGTTCAAGCAATAACTGTCAGGGATCTATTTTAATCTTTAGGTAGATAATACCATGACAGTTGCCATCCTTCACCTTTTGGCTTGGTTTCTGAGGAGACTTCCCCTTTTTATTTTTCATTTGTTCTTGGCTTTGGTTTGCTTCTTATGAACTGTCAAATCCACATTAATCTATCCCATCAACCAGACCCTCCTGCCAACAAAACTGTTTTCATTCCCTGCTGCAATCTCCGTGTTTTCAGATGTGACAACCAGGGAATGAAAATAGTGCTGTAATGACCACAATGAAAAAGCTGCCTGGGAACACTGACTGCTTTTTGCAGCATTCCCCTCAGTTATTTAAATAGTATTATGCTATCTCAAAGGTTTGTAAACTGATATATGGAGAGATGAAGTTCCTGCCTGTGCTGCACCAAAACCTAAATAAGCCAGAGCTATGTGCCTTCTATACTACTCTGTCTCAGACTCCTGTCACACGAGCATCAGCTCATTTTTGCAGAACAGCTCTTCTGATTTCACTGGACTGCAGGGTAAATTTAAATTTGCAGGTTTATCTTCAGTCCTATGTTATCCATCAGGCCAGATGACTCTGATGCCCTCAAGCATCTATGCTGACACCTGTATTAGCCCAGCTGTCATCACGCTAGAATGAGGATTTCAGAACAACGTAACTTGTCGCAACAGAGGGAGAGAATAGCTCCTGTTAACTCCTAGGAGTGTGATCTGCAAGCAGAATCCCACCTACTGTACCTTTTATTTCCTAAATTGCACTGATGTCTTCAGAGGAACGGAGACCACCAAGATACAAAATGTTACAAGCTACAGGTAATGGAACCAAACAATCTACTACTTACCTGCAGTACTATGTCCCGTCCATTTCGTGTGATGTTAACAGTATGGGGCTGTCCATTAGCCATGTTTCTGTGGTCGACATCAATGTTATATGGCTCTTTGGTGCCTCCAAGGCTGTACCGAATTTGCAGATTCCCTAGTGAAAGAAATGTGAAAAGCACCCTCAGGTATTTTGATCTTTATTCACCAGCTATTTTCCTCTCTTCGTTTTCACATACAACTGTTAGTGTTCTACACTTAAACTGCTCTAAGAGCTGGTCTCTGCAGTAAGAGAAGAGCTACTGTTTAAGACTATAAAGCTACTGGGCTGGAAACTGCTTCTAGTTTATAACCCAGAAGAGTGCCAATGACCAGCATTCAAAACTAGTGTTTGCAAACACTCCAGACTGTAAACCAAACAAATCAGAGCTGTGCCTTGAACAATATGGACAACTGGTACAAATTTGAACGCATCAAGTACCTCTTTATTGTTGAGATTATTATCCTTGCTGCAATAAAATTCTTTGAAGTTAGACAAAGCATGAAAGAATAAACCATTGATATGCTCTGAATAAAGGCAGAATTACAACAAATCAACACTGACACATAATCTACACAAGGGACTTTCCTGCTTTCTCATTTAATTGTTGTTGACAGGTGACCGTCTGGACTTTTATGGAAATTTAATAATATATGGTGAAATGAAAACCTGAGGTTACAGTGTTAGAAAAGTATAGCTGAAAGTGGTTAATTGATATTCATGACATTTTAACAGACAGATTTTTCTTTCCCAAACAAAACTGAAGTGTCCGCTCTTCTTAAGTGATTTTAATATTTGATTAAAAAGAAGAATGTTTGCAAAGGGAAATGCAGACCCATTATTCATCAAACCCAGAAATACTCTGTCCCAGAAGAGCAGCTCCAGCCTTTGCTAACTACAGTTTAGATGTTTGACGTGGGATTTCTCTCGGGCACCTTCTTTCTTCCCCATGAAGGGAAAAAAATGAGCGGCATGTACAATACTCATATTAACTTCTCCCATAAAAGATAATGGTAATAAAATCATCCTAATTACGATTTTCGCTGGGCACTAACGCACTATTTGGAATCAAAGTATATTCAGTTTATATACAGCTTTAATACTGTAACAGCAAATGACCCATATCCAACCTTCAACCATCACCAAAATGTTTCAGCACCTTACATATTATCCTACATCCATATTTTAGCCACCTCAGTGGGTATCCAGATATTCAGAAGGAACAGCGCACTGCACTTTCCACTCACTACTGCCATGAGTTCAGTGATTCAGATACCCACATGTGGATGCCTATTTGTTCCCTCCATAATGTTAGTTCATGGCACAGATCGGACTGTTTTAGTAGGCTTTTTATGGGTGGGGGTTTGGTTTCAGTTTTTTGTGGGTTTGTTTTCTGTGTTTGCTTGTTTTCTTTTCCCCATTTTGCTTTGAGAGGATGGGTTGACTAATGAAACCCCACTACATCAGTACAAAAAACAGAGGTTAAGGTCCTGTGTACTTTATTTTTACATGACAAAGCTGAAAAGACTTTCTCATTAGTTCAGATCTTCAGCTTAATGTCAACCTGGTGTTATTATCAATTGTGCCTTCAATGGGGAGAGCCCAGAGAGGCTGCTTACCAGACGGCTTGACAAGCACAGCCATGAAGTCCTGGGTGTAGGAGCTGATGTACAATAAAACACAAGGGGACTTGGTGGTACTGAAGCTGAAGCTGAGCTCTTCTTTATTCAAGTTCAGGTCAGGCTCTGTGGTCTCGGTATCTGGAGAACTCAAAAGTGTTCGGCTCACTAAATCCTTCATGCTAGTCCCTGGGGAGTGGAAGTTGTAACGAAGCCACATTCCCTCTTCAAAAAATGCTCCAACATCTTGAACGTAAGAAGGAAAAAATAAAGAGAAATTCAACATGCTGCCACCTTTTGGATTAAACACATTACTACTGACTTGACTGGCACTAATCTGTGCACGTTCTACTGCTGCATTAAGTGCTTCACCAATATTTAGGTCCAGAGCCTCACTATTTCCTAGTAGGAATGAAAAGGACAATCTCCACTTTACTGGTGAGTACCTGGATTCACAGAACAAAGATTTCCTTTGAGTCATACAGAAGGTGTCTCCTATCAATACTACAGATGAGAAGAACCATGCGTTAGATTTATTTTCATTGAAGTCTAGCAGTAGATAATGCTCCAAATAATGAGATACAAGAAAGAGAGATTTAAGAGACACAATAAGCAAACACTTTCAAGGAGAACAAAAACCAGCAATGCTGACCAGCAAACCTGAGTGCATTTGGAAGGTCCTCACAAAGGAATGATGGCAATTCCAGCACCTGAAAGATCTGAAATAGGACTGGACACAATGCTAGAAAGTTATCCACTGCTAGCACAATCCTTCATGGGAACTGCATAACCAGTATGGCCTTATGGGAGATAAAATAAACTAGGGAGCTCAACTCAGTGGGCACAAGGCAAGACACACCTGAACTGCATTCAGAGTAGCTGAGCAGAGACAAGATGACAGATAAAATTATAATAGATTTTAGTGATGCTCCTTTCCAGAATTTTGCTAAAGTTAGTGCTGCAAAAGCTTTACGTTTCCCTGTTACCCTGTTAAAATTCTCCAAATCTCAAAATATCATAGCCACTGTTACTGTGCGGCCATATAAAACATGGAGTCAAGTTGTGGTCCCAAGGTGCCATAAATAATTTGATCATTCTGATAGATTTACGACTGACATTTTATAGGAGAAACCTTAAATCAGGCTGAAACAGTTATGGGAGAGGCAATTCACTTTAACAACTGTATTTCGCAGTAGACTCAACTTAAGTACTCCTGGATTACAAGTGAAGGGCCCTAACCTGAAAATAACTTCCCAAACTGTGAAGCCTTCTGCCACTAACAGCAGCATTGAAAATAAGCATTAGCACCGACAGATCTACAGCAGTACATGCTGTAGCCGTATTACCAAGACTGGCTTAAAACTATCCCTACAACAGCTAATTCATTCTTCTTCAGCCTTTGCTTCTAGCTCACACAACCTGCTCCTTGGGCAGATATTGTACCAATGGCATGGTTATGGCGCTAGCAGAGCTGCTGGCCAGAGCCAGCCCTTTTTTCCAGAGCTGTAAATGTGATGAATTGCTACTTCAAATGCTCACTGCTACAAAGAAAGCTTTACCTAAACTGCTCTCTGAAATGCTAAGACTTTTTTTTTTCCAAAGGGGTTTCATAACAGCAAAGGATGTCCTGTATGTTTAACTTGATTTGTGCTGAGAAAATCATTTTCAGTATAGCTGTATTATTACAGGCATACAAACTATTGTAATGAGCCTTGAAATTCTCCTCATGCGCACACCACCTCTTTTAAGAGGAAGCATAAGTGGAAGGCTCACTTCAGCTGTGCGAGTGTATCAGGCCCTCAACAGGAACAATTGAATCCCCTCAAGTTCCAGTTCAGCAAAGAGGCTGATGCACATTACGTTCTTTGCTGAACGAAGCTGAAGTCCTTGCAGCAGGGCTGTAAAGTGCTCAGCACCTCACAGGAGCAGGCTGTTTGAACTACTAGGAAACACTAGAAAATGCTAAAAGATCATTTTCTCTATAATGAATGTAGCTATAAGAGGACTTGGCAATGCTGAGGGCTGATCAGTGAAAAAACTATCTACTTTGAGGTCACAAGCGTATCTTCTTCCTGAAGCTCTCACAGACGCCCTTGATTCAGAAAACCATTCAAACTGCCTGAATAAAATGCAGCACAAACCCTGCTGCTGAAATGTGGTGGAGGTTTCCCTGCATGACCCTCTTTTGTAATATTTCAAATGCTATCTAAGAAGATGACTCTTGGGAGACAGCCACGAGGCATAATGAAGGGCCCCTCCGCTAACTGCCCTTTCAAGGCAGAAGCCTTGGGGAAATGAATATGGCAGTAACATCATTTTCTTCAGAAAGCAGTGCCTATTTCTACATCCATATCCAGTGAGGTTGTCCTCTGTTGACAGACTGCAGGTACATACAGGTTGGGCCTGCGTTGCAGAGGAACCAAGAACAGGAACTGAGGATCATCTGAAACAATTTGATGAAGCAAGAGGCACATCCCCAGTGTGAGCTGCACATACTTTACAAAACTGTCCAGCTTCAACTGGAAAAGGGATGAAGCAGAAACTGATCCAGAACTTCCACACAAAAAGCACACTTACCCAGAACTGACAAACTTATTTTGAAGGCTGCAATTCTATGGTCATCCCCCCAGTCCCGCTCTCCCCACTCAGTTACTTGTGTTTTTGTACATTCTCATTCTGCCTAGGTTCAGGAGTATTGAAAGACTGGAGAAAAAAGCCAAATAGCAACAAAAAAACCTGTTTCTCTTATAAAAATTACACAATCTCATAACAGTTCTGGGCCAGTGTTGTAGACCTCAGAGTCCTCATTCTCCTTTGCTGCTGATTTAACAGCAGTGAAATGTCAGTATTGATTCTTCTCTTCTTCAGGTGATTATGATTCTGGTAGCCATACACTCACTCACACTCAGAACTTGTCTTCTTTCTACATTACTTTTTCATCTCCTGTGAAAAACATTGCCAGTATGGCACACGTGTGGCTGAGCACAGCTTCAGCAAGATATTCTGTCTGGAGGTGTGTATATAAAAGATACAGAACTCAGCAGGCTTTATGGCAATTGAACTGGTGCTGTGCTAGCAGTTGGGATAGGAATGGTAACAGGGATTGCCATGAATCAAATGCAAAATAGTACTCCACATTAAAAAGAAGCAAAAAACCCCTAAACCCAAACCAATCCCCAACCCCACGCAATTTAAAACCAGCAGCTTTTCAAGAATGGCTCTGTAAGAGGTGGACTTGACTTTTTGCCGTAGGACAGCTATTACTGTCCCACAATGGCCTTCTCAGAGTTTTCCAAGTCAACTCTAGACCTGGCTCATGTCACCTTTTACCTGGGGACCAAGGAGAAAGTCATGCTTGTTACTTCTCTGGTATCATATCCAACATAAGAATGACATGGACCTGCTGGGGTAAGGCCAGTGGAGGCCAAGAAGATGATCCAAGGGCTGGAGCCCCTCTGCTAAGGAGCCGGCTGAGAGAGCTGGATTTGTTCAGCCTGGAGAAGAGAAGGCTCTGGGGAGACCTTAAAGCAGCTTCCAGTGCCTAAAGGGGCTACAAGAAACCTGGAGAGGGGCTTTGGACAGGGGCCTGTAGGGACAGGACAAATAGAAATGGCTTTAACCTGACAGAGGGGAGACTGAGATTAGATACTAGGCAGAAATTCTTCCCTGTGAGGGTGCTGAGGCGCTGGCACAGGGTGCCCAGAGAAGCTGTGGCTGCCCCATCCCTGGCAGTGTTCAAGGCCAGGTTGGACGGGGCTTGGAGCAACCTGGTCTAGTGGAAGGTGTCCCTGCCCATGGCAGGGGGTTTGAACTGGATGAGCTTTAAGGTCCAGTCCAACCCAAATCATTCTATGATGGTATTTGGCTTTTTTGAGGCTGAGCCTTGAAAGCTATCTTATTAATGGACAGCAACAGTGTAAAACACAACAGTGTAGAACACTGGTGCAGACTACAGAGACAAAACCTTGACAACTAGGAAGCCTGGCAAGGACACATGAACACTGCAGCAGAAAAAGATTCTCCCCTCTTTGTGTCACAAAGCTGACTGAAATGCCTTCTTACAGCATGTCCCATTCTTGCAGCCTTGAATGCCTCCTCAGCTCTGCTCAGATTTGATAAGTTAAAAATATTACTCTGTGATGCTGCTTGCCTGTGCTCAATGCCATGTTTTCCCTGCATGGAGTTCTGGATGTGAAAAGCAGCATATTCAAAATCTTTAGCAAGGACAGTCACTCTATGCATGTACAAAGAACTGTTAGGGCAATGCAGGCAGCTGAACAAAACCTCTTCCTTTTTTGATTTCTCACAGTTATGAATGTTGAATATAGATTAACAAGGCTTTGCTTGCTGGCTTGTGGCTAAAAAAGTGCTAGAGAGCACCAGAAATTACAGCTATTTCCAGGCTGTGGTCACAAAGATTTACTGAAATACATCCTGGCCACAGGGCATCAGTAAAGGGTCAGAACCTCACAGCTGTGTATCTGGGTCAGAATTTACTTTGAGTGCTCTGAAAATAGTAATGCTTATAATTCATCTGGTTAGCTCACTCACTGTTTTATCCTGCCTTCAGGCTCACAGTATTTAGTTTGTGAAACCAAGAAGTGGGGATTTAAAGGTTTTGTTCTACACTTTAAAGACTCATATTCTGGATGCCATTACTGTAATAATTTGTGATGCAAATTTCAGTTGTCTATGTGTGGAGTAAAATACCAAAATGCAGCAACTGCTTGTTGTTATTAGTGGAATATAAACCTACTGAGTGTTTGCCCCTCCTATATGAATGTATCTGTACTCAGCATATAAACCCCCACCTTTCTTGAACAAATGAGCATCAGAATCAGGGGTATGAAAAATAATGTGCACCAGTGAAAATATGGGGCCTGATCATAAATCCATGTGATGTTTCCCACTACCTTCAGTAGAACAGGATGAGTGCCACCAAAGACGGGGTGAAGCCATCTGATTCATTACACCTTAAAGCCTCCCTAGTCAATACTGACAGGTAGCTTCTGCAGGGAACCAGTCTGGCATACCTAAGCAAGGCTGAGCTCTGAATCTTCTTTTGCAATGGCCCTGTAATCCAGGTGCCTTTTATTCTGCCTTGCACATGCCAAGGAAAGCCTAAAAATGTCATGAAAATCACAGCTGCAGTTCATTATGTACGGATGTGAAATTATTATAGACCTTTCTATGCTAGCCATTTGAACTGATGGCTAGGATAGCTGACTCGGAATAAGGGAATGGCA